ATAATAATATTTGACGTATATCTTTTTTAACTAACAATACATATTATATCTTAATCTATTTTGTTTGCTTAATTATAGTCCTAAGCCGTAAGTATAAACATTAATGCTCATTATAAAATTATCTTTAAAAATAATATAAATATTATTATACTTTAATTTTCTCAAATTATAAGTGAGTAAGTACAGTATAAATTTGATTTATTTAATGATATCTAAATTATATATTTTAATTTAATAATATACATTTAATATATATACGTATATGTATTTGAATTATTAGGTGGTTAGTATGAGCTTGGTTATATATAATATAAAAATGCTATTTACAATTTTAACCCTTATTTTTTAATAATTAATATTATATTTACCTTTTAAATTATTAGTGAGTAAGTATATAAGATTATTATATTTATAGTATAGATAATATTCTTAAGTATTATCGCGAGGGATTTTGCTATAAAAAATGCCTTTTGGAACTATGATTTACATAGTTCCAAAGTGTTATTTTGGTAGAAATATTCTGCATAATACTAATATTAATTAATTTGTATTAAGGTACAAAACATAATTGTATAAAATCGAAAGACTATTATCTATATTATTTAATATTTGATGATTAAATACAATAACAATTTTTATAACTTGATTATTATTCCAATTTTTTTAAACAATAGTCCGTAAGTAAAAACTTTATAGTACTTTATTATCTGTTAATTTTAAATTATAATTTAAATACTATATTTTTTGTTAAATTATTAGGAGGTAAATATAAACTTGATTATTTTTAATTGCTATTATGTATCAGCTATAAATATAATAAAAATCCCGAGTTAGGCAAAAAATTTCATTATATAGCATATTTGTTATATTTATATAATGGAATGCTTGGCAAATTATTATTATATTAAATTGTAATTGTAAAATTTGTATTCAATTTATTATATTAATAGTTGATGAATTAATAATTTAAATTTTATTTTTATAATTTAATTATATTTTTTAACATATTTTATTATTACGTATTAAACTAGTCTGTGGTAAGTATAAATTTAATAATATTTATAAAATTATTTGTTAATTTTAACTTAATTTTTTTGCAATTAATAATAATATATTACTCTTTATTAAATTTTAGTGCGTAAGTAAATAAATCTTCATTATATAATAAAGTTACATATTATAAATTATATTATTTATAATTTTTTAAATTATTAGGCAGTAAGTAAACTTAATTTAACAATTTTTAATTTGAACTTTATTAATTATATTATATTTATTTTAATAACTTTTTTATTAAATAGATGGTAAATATAACTTATTTATGCTAATTATAAAGTTATTATTGATTAATGTTTTACAGCTAATATATTTCTTCATTAAATTAGTAGTGTGTAAGTATAAACTTCATTATAATAAAGCTATTTGGCAATTTTAATTTAATCTATTATAAATAATAATATGTATTATAAATTATTAGTGAGTAAGTATAAACTTCATTATAATAAAGCTATTTGGCAATTTAAATTTAATCTATTATAATAACAATATATATTCTTTTGCTAATTATTAGTGAGTCGTAAGTATAAACTTCATTATAATAAAGCTATGTATTTGGCAATTTTGATTTAATCTATTATAATAAGAATACATATTCTTTTGCTAATTATTAGTGAGACGTAAGTATAAACTTCACTATAATATAGCTATGTATTTGGCAATTTTGATTTAACCTATTATAAATAACAATTTTTATTCTTTTGCTGAATTATTAGTAATGAGTAAGTATAAATTTAAAATTTTAAGTTTTCATTTAAGGGTTTTATAATTTATCACATAGCAATATATCGCTATTCTAGTCCTATATGTGAAGCTTCAAACTTTACTTACAAATCATGATTTGTAAAGACAGTATAAACCTCTACATATAGGAGCGACATATCACTATGGTAATAAATTATAAACCCTTAATTTATAACTTTAATAATTTAACTATAAAATTTTTTTATTAATCAACTAGCTGTAAACCCCCGCAATAATGCACGGGAATTATTACTATACAATATATATATAAAATTAAATATATATACAGTATATTTATTTATATACCAATACAAAATTTTAAATAATTAGTAAACAAATAAATTTTTTTAAATAACTTTTAAAAATGTATTAGAGTAATTTATAAAAGATAGAAACAGTAGTAAATAAAAAAAAAAACCACTTATTGCAAAATTTATATATAAGCTTATTTTTTTTTTGTATAAAAACTATTACTAAATTCAAGTCTCTATTGCATAATATAATTCTTTTTGAAGCTATAACAAAAATAATCTATTTTTCTTAAAAACTAATGCACTGTATTTATTTTGGGTATTAATAATCTTTACAATTTAACATATTGGGTGATTCATAATTAACTTAATTCGAAAATAAGTGAGGATACAAAATGTTCTATTTCTGTTCGAAAATTTTGAAATCAGAAAATGAAATAGGAGTTATTCGGAGATAAAATGAGCAACCTTTTTTTTTTTGATGACTTGTTGTTATCATAAAATTCTTAATATTAGTAATATGAAGTTTACTACAAATAGCCGGTGGTGATTGTCATGACCCATAGATATTTTTAGGGTTAGGGTGCAATTTTAAAATCTTTTTTTATATAATATAATAATCACCCTGGTGATGGTCACCACCAGTTATGGATAGTAATATTCTAGTAATATTACATATTTTATTTCGAATTAATATGCCTCCTGATAAAACTTTTAAACAAACCATTAAAGAAGAGAACTTGAGAAAAATCATAAAACTTGATAGTTTTTTAAGGGTTTAAGTCAAAATCCCAATGAACAAAATCCTGACAGGGTCAAAATCCCAACAAAATTGGGATTTTGACCCAAACCCGTTTTTTAACGAATAATAAGAAATCGATCTAATTCAATTGTTTACAATAGTTCCAACAGTTTATCGATTTCTTTTCGAGAATATTAGCTATATTTTTATGAGTAGATTAGAATATTCTTCTATTAATACTTCTAAAATACTGTTTATTTTTTTAACATGTAATTGTCGATCGGAAATATAAGGCATTTTAAAAATATATATGAAAAGATATCGAGTTCTCGAAGAAAATTCACGATCAAAAAAATTATTATATAAATAAGCTTACAAATCAAATTAAATAAGATTTATGAGCCGCTGATTTTGAAATAAATGCATCACTAATTTAATTCGATGAACCTTAATTCTCTAAAAATTAAATATTTCGCACTTTACCATACTAAAAATTACTAATAAATTTATTTCAAACTTTAACAGCTTATATAGATATCTTTTAAAGTTATGTTATAAAATTAAATTAATAGGATAAAGAAAATTACTGTACGGCACTGGCTACAGTATCCCTGCTATAATATCCCATGAAAAAGACTCGGATATTATTTTAGAGACATATATAGAGATTCGAGATCCTCCTTATTATAATACCCTCACCCGTAAATAGTACCCGAATAGGTACTATTCAAAAAATTTAATGAGTTATTGAATAGTTCCGGAATACTATAGTCAGTGCCGTACGGTAAATAATAAGTACATGTGGCTCTCGATATAACGGACCATCGATATAACGGATATCGCTTAATACGGAGAATGATAATGGAACCAAATTGTGATTTACTATGATGTCTGATATATCATGAGATTTTGATATTACGAAGCTTTTGATATAACGGAGCAAAGGACTGGAACCATGGCCTCCGTTATATCGAGAGCCACGTGTATTCATCAACAGCTTATATGCTTTAAACTTACGCTCTAAAGTGAAACCAAATTAGCACAAATAAATAAAATTAAATAATAAATATTCAATACTTCGACAGCTTATATAGATATTCTTTATACCTGCATTATAAAATGAGATATGAATAAATAAATTATTAAGGTAGTGTAATTAAATTCATCTGTACTTGTAGAGTTTTGCAAATTACTCATATTCTTTAAAATAAAATAAAAAACCAGCAAATATTTGAAGTCATATTGAACGAAAGAGATTATTAAAGGTAAAATTTAATTTGATTTTATTTAAATATTTCTCTATGCAATCAATAAGTCTATTAAATAAATCAACCAACCGGTATAAAATTTTAAAATAATGTGCTAATTTGAAATCAACAAAATAACAAATTCAATATTTTTAGTAATGAAAACACAATTGACCCGCTTAAAATATTTTTCTCTAATTTATTCCCCGACACATTTTAGCTCGTCGATTAAGGCGCTTGAGAATGCCCTTAAATTCTGATCTTAGATTCTAGTTCCTTTGTTATATCTTCAATCATGATATTATCTGAGATTATACTATTTACGTTTATCTGTTCATTAATTTGTTGATCGAGAATTGTTTGTTCGTTAATATAATTAATAAATCCGCTGCTATATATTTCGCTATCATCAGTATTAAATTCAAAAGTATTACTTTTTTTCTCAATCTCATCTGATTTCAAAAATTCTGATAAAATGGTTACATCACTTCTCCAACTCATAATAATTCTATAAATTTCTAAAGCTGATGGTCGTTTTTCTGGATCACTATCCCAACACTTTTCTAAAAGGTTTACATAACATGATGCTGTACCTTCAATAATTTTCGGTCTTAGTCCTTCACAAATTTCTATAGCTAAGTTTAAGTTATTACACTTGTCATATCCATATTCAGAAAATGCCATTCTTCCCGAAGAAATTTCCCACATAATTATTCCAAGTGAATAAACGTCCGATGCTTTTGTGAAAGGGTTGCCTCTAAAAATTTCTGGTGCTACATATGGAAAAGACCCATAAACTCCTCTTGATTTCGTATTTAATGTCTTGTTAGCCAATGTCGCAAATCCTAAATCACCAATATATGCGTTATATAAATTATATTGAAATATATTACCGCTATGCAAATCACAATGAATAATATTATATGAATGAATTAATTGAAGGTCAAATGTAATGTTAGATAATAATCCTAATTTCTTTTCCCACGGCATTTGTGCAATAGCAGAAAGATTTTGGCGTAAAGATCCTATTGGCGCATATTGTATAACTAAAATATATTCGTCTGATGTTTCATCCTTTGATATTCCATAACATTGCAAAAATGTTGGGCTTTTATCTCCGATTTCATGATATATGTTTAACTGTGATATGATAATATTAATAGAGGTGAATATATTTAACACATTGAATTATTAAACATTTACCTCTTTTAAAAGTTCTTCGCAATTACCCATATTTTTTGATCCACTAAAAAATTTAAGTGCAACATCTATTTTTTGTATTTCGCCATCGTTAAATAAGTGTGTCCACTCGGCATAATATACAGTTGAAAATCCCCCTTTTCCAATTTTTTGTATAATATTTAGCTCACTAAATGGTATCCATGCCACTGATAAATTGTTCTCGAGTAATAATTTTTTTAAAAATTCATCAATATTGGGATCTTCATGACTATCTATTCCCTGATATTTATTTCTTTTTGCCTTTAGTAACCATTAAATAGCTTTTTCTTGATTTTGTAATGTTCCAATGCCATTTCGATAACATAATCCAAGATTCTCTTGCCCAATCGAGTTTTCACATTCAGCAGATTTCAAATACCATTCAAATGCTTTTATATCATCTTTAGTAACACCTTTGCCATATTGGTAACATTCACCAACATTGCATTGCCCGAAGGAACTACCACCTTCAGCAGATTTCAAGTACCACTCAAATGCTTTCTTTTCATCTTTAGCAGTACCTATTCCACTATCATAGCACCATCCAAGACTATTTTGTCCATTAGGATTGCCACCTACAGCAGATTTCAAATGCCACTCAAATGCCTTTTTTTCATCCTTTGCTGTACCTATGCCATTCTGATAGCAAAATCCAAGATTATTTTGACCATCCGAATTGCCACCTTTAGCAGATTTCAAATACCATTCAAATGCCTTCTTTTCATCCTTAACAATACCTATTCCATTTTGGTAGCAGAGCCCAAGATTACGTTGCCCATCGGTATTGCCATTTTCAGCAGATTTCAAATACCACTCAAATGCCTTCTTTTCATCCTTTTCTGTACCTATTCCACTATTATAGCACCATCCAAGATTACATTGCTCGCTCGAATTACCACCTTCCGCTGATTTCAAATGCTGCTCAAATACACTTTTTTCATTATTTGCTGTGTCTATGCCATTTTCATTACAGATTCCAGGGCTATTTTGTTCATAAGAATTATCTCTACAATTAAAATTGTTGGGATTAGTGGAGGATTCAATTTTTGAATAAAGAATTGACAATTCTTCGGGTGAAAGAATATTTGGTGATTCCTCAAGAGAAGGAATAATTATTGATTCTTCAAGCGGACAATATATGTCTTGAATCGAAGGAATAATTGACATGCTTGGTTTGTATGGTATGTATGAAGCCGAAAGTAAAATAGAATCTGAAATCATGGAAAGCGAAGGTGTTAAATTTGGAAATAATTTTCTTTTATAAGGTTTAAAATTACAGTTCGGATACATTTCATTATGAATGAATTCTGCTTCCTCTATAAAAGGGTTTTATTAAAATTATAATTTCAATTGTAATATAAAAAATAAATAAAATAAAAAACATATATATACCTGCAATGTTAACGTATATAGATTTTACCTCCTTTGGAATAGTTTTCCATATTTCTTTGGCGTATCTACACAAATTGGGCATTTTTAGTTTTTGTTGTGGGAATTGGGATTCAAATTCCAACCTAAGACAATTTTTAAGAAGTGCAAAGGAGCTTGGTGGGCGAGAAGGACGAGAAGGTGTTCGTGACAATGTAGAAGTATCATATTTATTCTTAGGATTATATACATAGAATAAATCAAAATTAGCGGGAATTCCCCAAGAATTAAATTGTAATTGTGACACTGCCATTTTTATGTTTGAATGTAAAGATTTAAAAGACTTGCTAAAGAAATATTTTAGAAATAAATGTATATTAATTTTTTTTTGGCAAGGAACAAGTTTCATTTTTGGTTACTCAGATTGTAATCGTGCACTTATGTGTACTAGAAACTAGTTACGTACGATGCTGCATAAGTTTTTACCAATCATACTGAGTAATACCGGTGGCACTGGTAGTACTTTTATATTGGTACTGGTACTGGCATTGATAATACCGGTACAACTTTATTATACATTAACCTATTAAAGACTATTGCTAACTTGCTATATCTCAAAAAACGTACTAAGTAATTAAAGTTAGAGTTTCTAAATAAAAAATGTTCAGAACCTCCAAAAACCTTATGCGTAATAAAATTTGAATCTTTATAATGAATTTTATTATGTTATATAATGTTTTATTATGTTATATAAACCTCTATTATGTATTAAAATGTACCCTAAGGGATCATCTGATTTTTTTAGGTGCCATAATGTCATGTTGATTTATCATGTTTGTATCATTTGAGAGAGGAGGGATTTTACTATTTACAAAAAATCAGCTGATAAATGACACTTCCCTAACCCTAAAAAAATTGTGGTTAAATTTGCCTCTGGTTAACAAAATTTAAAAACCTTAATAAAATATTGAGATTTTTAGATTAGAAAGAATCAATTCTTCGAAGATACAATGCTCTAAAAATAGAACAGCAATCAATCAGAAGTAGGATTGTGGGCACGGGGTTATTGGGTGCATGCCCTTGCATGCCCTGTCATGTGATTATATATTGTTATGCAGCAATTTGATTAGTTATTACAAGTCACGTGATACTAATTTTCTTTTGCATATATGGAGTCTTTGCCTCGAAAATCACCCTCCGGCATTTCTGATCGGCTAATCCAGACAAAAACAAATCCATATATTAGCTCACTTTATATTTCTGGCTTTATTGATTTGAAACCTCATTCTATAAACTATTGATCCATAAAGACAAAAGGGTTTACATATAAACATGAACTAATACACGGCTTTGTTTTTGTCCGAATTAGCCCGATCGGAAATGTTGGAAGGTGATTTTCAAGGCAAAGACCTGGGACCCGTAAAATTTTAGTTCTAAAAACTCAAAATTTTTTCTGATAACAATAAAAAATTTAGGCGAATTTTAGCTT